CCGCTCCCTGCAGCAGATGCTGCGGGCGATAGCGGAGGGGCGGAGCCGCGCCGGCCTCCGCCAGGAGATCAGCGGCCTCGGTGAGTCGGGGCCTCCCCGCCGGGCTTGGGGGTGGGAAGGGAGCACCCCGGTGGAAACGGGAGGACCCTCTCCACCCCCCATTATCCCCCCCTCCAAACTCCTCTCCCCGGGTCAGTCCGTGGGTTCGCCGTGGGCGGGCGGGCGGCGGTGGCCTGGAAACCTGTTGTGTGCTGCCGGGCTGTGCTGCTGTCACCGGGGATGGGCCCTTTTCCCTTCCCAAGTCCCCGAGAAGCGGAGGGAGCAGCTCTCTGCCCCATTGTCTGAAATGCCCTTGGAGAGAAATGGTCAGAAGGCACCACGCGCAGCGGCCCATTTATTTTTTTTTTTTTATTTTAAAGTATAAACTACGCATCGTGTATTTTGGAATACAAGCAGTACGAATTTATTGTCACTCCTTGCCAGCGCGTGCAATCCTATGGCTCTCAAATGATCTCCGTACATTTTTTTCCTCCTCTGACTCAGACACCTCCCTTCTCTGAGTAAATGACTTGCCGTGGTCTAGTAAGCACGTAATGTCGTGGCTCTTGGTGGTCGGTTAATTTTTTTTTTTAAATTGTGGTGGTTTTCTTTAGCTTTCTGGCTATCTCGTTTATTTACGTCGCGATCGATGTAAATTTTACATGGCACATCTTTATGTGGCTTTTGGCAAAGGATATGTGTTGCAAAATGAAAGTTTGAAGTTGAAATTCAGTTGGCTTTAGGCAGCAGAGCGGTAGACAGCTCCCTTAACCCAAACCCTTTGCGTCAGGAAAGTCTTTTGGCTGGGCTCATGAATAGAAGCCATTCATTTTTATGTGCAACACCAGAGATCGTAGGCAGAAGTTTTTGATGTGAGGAACGGTTTCTACCTTATTCAGAACTTTTGTCTATCCTGTGCAGGACCTGTGCTCTAAGGGGATGAATGCTCAGAAGTCCTTGCAGGATCAGGGCTTTAAATTACGAATGTTGATGAACAATACTTCTCTTTGTTTCTTCCATGGGGACTTTATTAACAGCTTCTCCTTGCTCACCTCATTTCTAAGCTCCCAAAAGTCTCAATTTCTGAGTCTGCCTTAAAAACTCAGAATGAGTTTTCATTTGAGTTTTCCTGGCTTTGTGATGTGGATCGGCATGGGAAATCTCTCTGGGTTCTCCGTGTGACCTTCATGCATCACTTTGTCTGCCAGTGCTTACTGAGGTCTCCCCGAAGAGGAATGGGCTCTCCCTTCTTTATTTTTTGCCTTGCAGATAACAAAAGCCTGTGCAAACTAAGAGAAACGATAAATCTGTCTTGTTTCTTTACGCTTCTTTTTCTCATGGAATTGGATCTCCAGGCTTTACTGTAGTGTAAAAATGTTACAGGGCCAAATAAGGTGTTCTGGCAAAGAAACTGTAAAGAAAAGAGGAAAAAACCACCCAAATCTAAATGCCTGTGAGATCACATTCATTGAAAAGCAGTTGTCAGCTCATGCTTGGCCGTATCACATTTGAAAGAAAGTAAAGACTTGCAGGAATAGAAACATTACCATTGCTTGCTTGTACTGAAACTGGAAAAGGGAGTAACTGGTGGCTGGTAAGAATGGAGAAGTGCTTCCTCTCCGCTTGTGTCTGAGCACGCATCCGCAGTAGCTCTTCATGAGAAGTCCTGCTGTGTAACTTTGGGATAATAGCACGAGGAATGGGACTGTGTTGCACCTCTCTTCTACCAGACGAGGACTTGAAAGGGAAAACCTCAGGAGAACTGCTTAGCTCATCGTGCTGAGGGGCTGATCCTGGCTGTGGAGATTTGCCTGGGTATGTCTGTACTTGTGTGGAAGTAGGTTATACGTCACCCCCGGAGTGCCTTGGATGTTCAGTTTTTATATCCAGGGAATGGAGCTGAACTTTTAGCTGCAGACGCTGCTGTTATGCCTTTCCTAGGACAGTGTCCTGCAGGTGGAGAAGTGTAGATCTCCCTGCCCTGGGCAGCTGCGGGTGGGATGCACTGATGATTTTAATGCAGGGAGAATCTCTTCTGTGGTGGCTGTTTCTGAGCACAGCTGTGGAGTATCAGCTCCCTCTGGCACTCCCCTCGCTAGTCCCCGAGCACTGTGGTCACAGAGCAGGGCCCCTCTCAGGATTAGAGGTTGCAGACTCAGAGTGCCATAGGGACATTTAAATTGTCACAGCATTTGACCAGCTTTTTAAAATCTGTACTTGTTATTACTGGGGAGGAAAATATCGGGAAGCTTCCTTAAGGTCTAGGAGACAGGGAGTCTCTCTGTGCCATAAATCTCTATTTTTGTCTATCAAAGGATTTTCTAAGATCATGATTTCCTTGTGTGCTGCACGTTACCTGATGTATGACACAATCGCTTCCTGTGACTGAGCTCTCTTTTTCCTTTTTCTGTGATTTATTAATAGAGAAGTAAATAGTTCACATACTTCTCTTAGGAAAAGCATTAAGCTTTGGGAGTGGTGCTCAGCAGAAATTGTAGATGAACAAATGGTTATCAGGTGGCTTAAATAAATGCATGCCTGAACTGAACTAGCAAATGCTGTTGCAGGACCTGCAGCATAGTTGGAATAGCCTGGGCTATTCCGGAATACGCTGGGCTCTAGCAGCACAGCAGATGGAAAGGCTTTTCCTTGAGTTCAGTACCCGCGGAAGCAGTCACAATCCTGTAGGGATTTGTCAGAGCTTTTGCCTGCTCCTTGTGCCTGGGTGCTGTTACTCAAAGCATCCCCAGTGATCCCACCTGTGGCATGTCACCTGCTGGGCTGCAGGACTAGCGTACCCTCAGCTGGTTTTTATGAGTGGTGTTTCTTTTTTTTTGAATGACCAAATCATTTTCGGCTGTGTTAGCAGATGAAACCTGCTGTGAGTTTTTCTGAGTTTTCTTGAAATCAGCTGGCAGAGACTTCAACTGTGTTGAATTCGGGGTTTTCTCCAAGTGCTGTTAACCCCTCAACAGTGAAATGGGACTCGCTGGGTTATAATTTGGGTGGCCCCTCTCCTTTTCTGTATATCCTTTAAGTAAGCAGTACTCTTCAGCTGAAGGAGGAAAGTGCTGGTTTTGCTGATACTGCATTTTGGTGAGAGGCATTGCTTTATTTATTTGTCCAAAAATGTAAATCTCCTTGTGTGGGATTTTCCATATCATTCTGTTTGTGTGATGTAGAAAATACAGCAAATCTGATATTGCGTTTCAAAATAATGACTCATGCCATGACTCTTTACCGAGCTGCTTGGGGGAAGGATGATGCCTCTCTGAGAAGAAGGATGTTCGTGTCATCCAGTTGTGCAGGCTATTACACGAGTGTCGTGTGCCAAGCTCACTCAAAATGCAGTTTGTTAGAACATTTCTCTGGCAAAATCATTCTCCTTCTGGGGGAATGCCAGACTTGCTGTACAGGTTGCTCTGTACTCTGCCAGGTTGCTCTGAAGTTGCCTTTTTGGTCAAACCCTTGAATTCTGGGTGGGGGGTATTTTTGATTGTGCCTAAAACTACCACGTAATGTTGTCAGATGCTTCATTTCCCTGTGTTTTCCTGTGACAAATTGCCCTGCAAGTGAAGCTTGGGTGGAGGTGTGACTTTGCACACACCAGAACTCATCATGAGTAAGAAAAAATAAATAGGTAGATGCAAATAATGTCTTGAAGCGTGGCTGAGGGGTAATGGAGATGGGTAGGGAGGCAAAAGGTGGAGAAGCCTTAGGGATCCTGAGGAGCAGGTGGCTGCCCCGTGGGCTGCATGAAATCAGGAGTAAAGCAGCAGTTGAAAACTGGTGCCACTGGGCTCTGAAGGTCTGTAATGGTGGTCACAGGTGCCGGTGGAGCGGCCAGACCCTGCTGGAGTCTGATAGTCTTACCAGGACTGAAGGGGTTCTTGTGCTTGGTTTGTAGAGGAGGTGTTCTTGTATTTACTAACAGCCGATGAGCGGGGCAGAGGAGGGTGTACTCGGCGGCACGGGGACAGCAGGAGGAGGAACGTTCATCCTGAGCTGGAGGATTGCTTGGACTTGTTTGCGCCTCAGGGCTTGTCATGTGAGTAAAGACAGCAGGGGTGATTCATGTGCCAAATTGTCTTCATGAATAAATCCTGGAGATAAATAGGTCTCTAGCCTTCCTGTGAGAAGGAAAGGTGAGGTGACGTATGGTAAGTGCTGGTGTGCTTGTGTTGTGACAACATGATGGAAACATAAAAGACCCAAGCGGGAAAACGTGGGTAGAAGGATGAAGAACGCTGGCAGAAAATTTTGGAAAGCAAGGAGGTTAAAATGAAAAATTAAAAAGAATGAATGATTTGGTTTTGAAAGTGTTAGATTCGGGCCTTTGCTCTATCGTAGTATAATAACTTTTAATTAAATTATAATATTCAAGAAGGATGTATTTGCTTCTGAAACTTTGAAGAAAGTGTAGCCACTGAGTAGGTGGAAGTGTCTGTGGAGAATTCGCTGCAGTAGAGAACTGGTTTGACAGGAGTAGCTTTCTGGCAGAAACAAAACATACTCTTCATTCATGGCTCTTCCTGGAGTTAGTTCAATGAGTTGTCCAGTCAAAGGTGAGAAACTACAAAGGCTGGGAAGCTTTTGTTTTCTTTTGATCTGTGAATAATAAGAAGGCGTGGAAATAACATCTGTCCTAACAAAATCTTGAGGGCCATATACAACCAAATTCACTAACTGCAGGTAATGCCCCCTGTAATGAGGTAGTTTAATATACAAATATGTTGATAAATTTACTTTCTTTTCATCAAAACACTTAGAAGGATTTAATTTGAGTTTAAGATACAGTTTTTAATACTTGTACCTTAATATTTTTACTTCTTTTGTCCTATTTATAAAACGTTTTGCAGTGAATGAATATGAAATATTCAATAAAAAAATGAATAGGCAAATACTGAAGAGGAAAAAAAGATACTGAAGTAACTTATAAATAGTAAAATTTAAAAAGTGTTTATAGAGTAGCTTCCTAATCAGTATAAAAAATAATAATTAAGAAAATAACAGCATTGTAGCCAGAGAGTATTTCATCTGT